ATACTGCCTAGTGCAAACTAGTTCAACAAATAGATGCTTTATGAATAACGAACCCCCGAGCAAAGGAACTGGGGAAGAAACAGTAGTTGCCTGGGTGAGGGAGCTGAGATGTTCCACGAGGCTGTTTGGCTAATTGCATTCTTCACTACAATTTTTATGTTTTCATCTTTGTACAATCCACCCCCTCCCATCTGTATTCTCATTAGGCACAGAACCTGTGTCTTTTTCATATTTGTATCTGGGGCACAGCACTGGGCCAGGCACAGAAGCAGCTGCTTAAAGGCTGTTTGTGGAATAGATGAATTAATGATCCTAGCTACCTAACTTGCCCGGGGGAAAAAACTAGTAAGTTTAGGAGCATTTAATGAGATTAAAAATTCAATATAAAACTCTCTTAATCTGCACTGTGTCAAAGGCTGACACAGAAACATTCAGACATGATCCCTGCCCAGCAAAGACTTTATAAGAGTATGTGGCTACAGAGAAGCGAGGCGACATGGTGCTGCCATGGGGAGCCAGGTCACCTGGGGAAGCAAACCCTGGCTTTGCTACTACACTAACTGTGTGACTGGATCTGTTAAGGAATGTTTCTTGACTTCATTTTCTTCACATATGAAATGAGAACATTAAACTGGTGCAGTTCTTTTTTAAGAAAATTTTTTCTAGACTGTAAAATTTTGAGTACAGTCATGCGTCACTTAACAACGGGGATAAGTTCTGAGAAATGCATTGTTAGGCGATTTTGTTGTGCAAACATCATAGAGTGTACTTACACTAACCTAGCTGGTATAGCCTACTACACACCTAGGCTGTATGGTATTAATCTTATGGGTCATACATGTGGTCCATCGTTGACCAAAATGTTGTTACATGGCACGTGACTGTACAGATACCTTTAAAAAAATATATTAAGTGGAACTCCAAATACATATTTAAAAAAAGATAAAACTGGGGGCTAGCCCAGTAGTGCAGCGGTTAAGTGCACATGCTCCGCCTCGGTGGCCCGGGGTTCGCAGATTCAGATCCCAGGCGCACAGTGACGAACCGTTTGTCAAGCCATGCTGTGGCAGCGTCCCATATAAAGTAGAGGAAGATGGGCACGGATGTTAGCCCAGGGCCAATCTTCCTCAGTAAAAAAAAGAGGAGGATTGGCATCGGATGTTAGCTCAGGGCTAGTCTTCCTCACACACAAAAAAAGAAAAGATAAAAGTGAGGCTGCTTTGGTCAGTTGAAATAGGCATAATGCTTGTAGGAGGCAGAACTGGGTCCCTGCCATTTTCCCCCTTTCTCCTCACTCACATCACCTACGAAGCCCCCACACATCTCCCTGGAACCTTAGGGCTCCATGGAACCCAGTTAGAAAAGCCAATAACTAAAAACCTCTGAGGTCCCTCCTGTTATAACATTCCATTCGAAAATTAGAAAAAATTCGATTTTTTCTAAGGTTCTAAAATCAACATCAAGATACCTTCCACACAAGGATACACTATCCTATAACTTTTGCAGCAGCAGTATCTTTCCTATAACTATTGTGTAAACAACACAACTATTGTGTAAGCTGGTCTTTTAGGAAATGCAATTCCTCACATTGTTGTTGTCATTCTTTCTCGAGCCTTTTATGTGGACTTAATTACACAGAAGCACCATGCTCAGCAATGGAGAATACAAAGGGACAAATCCAGACACACGTCATTCCCTTAGAGGGCTTACAGTCTAACAGAACATTCCTGCAGACAACTACAATGGGGAACAGAAACTGCTGGTGTCATTAGATACAGCAAAATGGGTGTTTAAAAGGGCTGAGATTACTTCTGGTTGGTAAGGTCAGGAAAGAGTTCAGGGAACAGGTTATGAGTGGGCTGTAGAGAATGGTAGGCTTTGAACTCAAAGGAGTGGTAGGGATGTAGATTCTAAGCAAAGGTCACCTCACGAGCACCAACAAAATGGTAGGAAGCCATGCGGCAAGTATAGGGAACTGTACCTAGTGGCACCTTAGTTGAAATGTAGGCTGTGTGAAGACAAATACTGGGGAATAAATAGATTAGTGGCAGAATGTGCAGAACCTAACAGAATCTTTAGAGCAGAGGAGTGCTTCAGAGAGGTTACAGCAAGGAAGGAAGCTGGAGACGAAGGCACCCATTAAGAAGCAAAAAGTATGCCTGCCTGACTTCAGACCAGACAGGCAGTAAGGGAGGGGGGTGCTGTCTGAAGCCATTTATGAGGTAGTGAATGACGAGGCGTGGGAGGAGTCAAAGATGACGCAGAGGCCAAAATCTAGGTTAGGCAGGGAAATACTAATATCGTGAACTGAAACAGAGAACATATGACAAAGTTTAGAGACAGATGGCGAATGCTAAGTACCAGTGGAGATGTCCTGCAGGAAACTGCAAACGTTGAATTGAAACTTGGGAAAGAGGTCAGAGCTGTGCATATATTTGGGAAGAATTTTTGCAGAGACGGCAGACCAAGTTTTAAGAATGAATGAAACTGCTGAGAAAGAGCACTCTTTAGTGAAAGAAGACAATTCTAAATGCTGATCTTTGGGAGGCACCAACATTAATGGGTAATAGGAGGAAAATGAGCCAGAGAAAGTGTGACTGGAGAGGTACAAGGAGACCTGGGTGAGCACAGTGTTGTATATGATGATGCACATACGTCCTTACCAAGGAAACAGCTTAGTTCTTGATCTGAAGGATCACATAAATGGACACACAGCAGGGCTTTCTAAAGCGTGTTCTAGGGAAGACTAGTTATATAGCTGTTCAGAGGTACTTTATGATCAAAACAGGACTCAGTGATCAAAAAGGTTGGGCCCTTTATCTCCTATAGAAATTCAAACAGCACATCACATTGACCCATAAACCCTTTTTGTTTTATATCTTCTAGATACAGCAGTGTTCCTTCCATAGGAAGTCAGCTTGAGAAACACTGATAAACTGTGAAATTTGAAAATTCACAGAACATTAAAACTGGACAGGACAGTTGTGATCATTTCATCCAATGCTTTCATTTTACAGGTAAAGAAAGTTAATTATGTATGTAATGCCTTATTCTTGGTAAGGTGCTAAAGAATAAATGTGGATATGAAAGCATATGAACAAGAGAAATAAAAAGAAAAATGACAAGATAGAAATCAGAGCTTTAAAACCTTCAACATTAGTTACCATTTGAGGGATGACTTGCTTTATGCTTAGTGTTGTAGATTTCACAGGTCATCCTGACGGTAATATGAGGCTCAATAATTGGTCATCATACATAAGAGGCAACTGAGGCCTAGAGGTTAACATGGCCAGTGACCACCCTACTACATGGCAGAGCTAGAATTCAAACCCAAATCTGACTCTGGAATGTGGGCATCTGAACACCATGCTCTGTTGACTTGACAAGAGAATCACAGATAAATACAGTTCTTGGAGAAACTCCCACTCAGCCCACCCATGGATAGGGCCCAAGATAAAGTTTTCTTGCACCAAATTGCCACTACACATAAATATAAATAAAACCTATTGTAACAAATTCAATATATCAAAAATCCAGATTTACAAAACAGATTCTCAAGAGTATATTTCTTTGCTTTTCAAAATAACTTTATAAAAGAATCCTCAAAATATTCTCTTCCCTAGTGTCAATATATGTATAATTATTTCATTTTTATTAATTTTCTCTAGAGTAGATATTATCCATAGGTCAGGATATGCCTTTAACATTTCAGCAAGATTCTAAGTGTATCACTTATGAAATTTTTCTAAGAAACCCACATTCATTCCTGAGAAGTAAGTCCAAAAATGATCACTTTGGATCTTAGATCAGGATTTCTTATTAATCTTAATGAGTTTTCCTTGAAATCATACATTGTCTTTAAGTGAGTCTCATGATGTACATATACACAGACACATAAGCCATCACATACAGTTGCAAATATTACAGTCTCAACTTAAACTCTGAATCCCTAATTTAAAACAGTACCATACGCATGACCTTACAATTAGTGGAAACAATTCAAATGGTATTGATATTTTTTATTCATTCTAGCATAATATATCTGAGATGTAGTCAACCGCTAAGCCTCTTTTCTCCAACATGCATAAGAAAGAATAGGATCTATCCCCCAAGTTATGATTCCATAAACCTAAGTTCATTGCAGACTGCTATGTTAGGTCACATGGTAGAAAAATATTTATGAATGCTTAATATTAAAAATAAATTTCACATGTAGTTCTAATTAAAAAACATATTTTGACCTAATTTCTTGACAACTTGATTAAAATTTTAGTAAAGATTCTTCCCTAACAAATTAAATTCTTAACTGCTGCATTGATTAGTGAAAATTTAATGAGAGTAGAACTGTTGATCTACGTAGAGGTAGGTGTAATTTATCTATAATAGCATCTTTCAAAGTATGTACTTTGAAACACTACGTCGTACTGTCAAATAGGTTCAGGAAACATTGCAAATTCCATTCCTCTCTTGGAGATTGATAATATACGTTGGTATTATATAAGCACCCAGAGTTAAAAAAAATTTTTTTAGCTTTATTCAATCCATCATTTCTCAAGCTTATCTATCAATATCCTGTTATAATTAGTGTCATAGGAAATAGAATTGAAAAACCTTGATCTATGACGATAGGAAGGAGAGAATTAAAATAAGTGGGTGGATGGTACCAAAATCATTTGTATTGGATTTTGGAATGTATGTAATTTTATCAGATTTTCTTTTAGAATGTTATTTTTTAAAAGGATACATTAAAAAGATAGTTAATTGCCTACAGGCATAGCAACCATTTCAAAAGCACAATAGGAGCATGCTTGGTACCAAGAAAAAGACACGGGATACTCAGGGTTTACTCAGGTTTTATACAAAGTAGGGAAGACACGGGGTAAAATGAGAACTTGCCATGCATATTTCATCCTCTAGGATTACCTCCAAGGCATAAAGAAAGACAGTAAGAAAAGAGCAAGTAGTTCATTTACGAAAAGGCTGACATCCAGCATACTTACACTGCCCATTCAAGCTTCTCATTCTTGATTGAGTTATACAGAGCCTGCAAAGAAAGAAAACAAGATGGAATTATTCTTTTAATTCTGTTCCACATTTTGAATTCAGCAAGCGACCAAAGCCAAAAGGCTTGAGCGATTCAGCAAGCACCCCCCAGGCCTCTGGTTGGTCATCCTGTTGGCTCTGCAGAGATGAGGAACGCACAGGGGAGGCAAGTGAGCACAGAGTAAGCAGTGTTTTGTGAAACAGAGATTTTTCACAAAGTAAAAAATGTCTTTCATAAATAAGATATATAATACTGTATTACATTTTATCATAGTAAAATATTAGGATATGATTAAAATTAGACCATTCTATTTTTTTTTTATTCAAAATATGGTCTTGTAGTTTTACTTGTTTGGATGTTAGAGTACTCATACCTTTTTCACTAATTTCATTCATTTTTTCAATAATAAATATAATGGTTTTCATTACAACTTAATGAGCAAGACACATGGAAGGAGGCTGAAGCTAGATTATGGAAAACCATCTTAGAATAATTTCAGAGTTTCTATACCAATGACTCAAGCAGCTTTTATCGGTCTAACTTCCTACTTCTGCTTTACAGTTACTGAGTGTGATCCTGGTGTGTGTGAGGTGATGGAAGGGGACAGAAAGCTTCTTTAGAGCTTTGGTAACAATAATGACACAGTCAAGTCGCAGAAGACTGCCTCCCTGATTCTCCCAGCTCTGGCATGACACATAAGCTCTAAGCTGTTCCCCTATGACAACTACCCAAGAAGATGCTACTCCACATCTCTGCTTTCTTAATTTTGAGTAAGATAAAGAATGCATCTCTAAGCAAGAGAAAATTATATTGAAGAAAAGGATAACTATGTGCATAGTAACATTAGGACGAAGTTGGAACATTTTGCTTCAAAGAAGGACTTGGATTATTAGACTCAGCAAAGATTTCATTTACTTTAAGATGGGAAAAGGGGGGATCAGATGCCATCCAACCCCTTACCTTTCAAATGAGGAAATGGCAGGTTCAGAAAGTTCCCCAGGTAGCACAGCAGAGCAGAGGCAGAACTGCCTCGTACTCCTATTTTCTGCCTTCTAATACGTCTCGTCCAAGTGTAAGAGGAAGTCCATGTGTGTACACTATTGGCGAATCCCCTTTTCAGCAAAACACTTCCAGAGGCAGTACAAATATATTTAGGTTACAGATTTTACATTATTTAAGAGTCAATACATGTATCCTTAGCCAGTATCTTGACGAACTCTGTGGGAGTTCTTCAGTGTGGCTACAAGAGTCAATTTAACTATTGGATAATCACGGGAGCTAATAAAAATTAGGATACATTTCACCACTATCAGGATATGGTAAAACATGTCCTCAAATACAAAAATGATAGAACACCAAATTAAAATAAGAGGTAAACTGAGGGACAAAGACCATGCTATGAATTGGATATTCTTTTTGAGGAACTCAAATTTACTGAACAACTGCAATAACCTATTATATAGCTAATGTCACAGAAGTGCAGAGAGAGTAAATGTGTTACTCACGCCTCAGGAGACTCTTACTGGATAAATGTCTTTTAAATGGATTCTATTACTTCTACGAGCCATTTTGAACCCACAAGTAATAGTGAGCTGAGAAAACGCAATTTAGAAGAGACAGATCATTAAAGGTTCTTTATATACTATGGTACTCAATACTACCCAGAGTAATTTAACCACGTGGTAAAGATAAAAAAAGATCTGTTCTTAAAGGTAGTGAGTTGAAAATGATAGGAAAGCATTTAAAATTTTTCTAATACATTCAATTCTGTCCTACAATACAGTTTTTTCAAATTTTTTGCCCATGAGAATATTTTGCTTAAAGAAATACTGAGATCCAAATTAGAAAATTCTTGTTACTCAATCAGCTGCATATCACACAGCAAAAATCTTTATAGTGTATCTTGCAATATTCAAGAAACTTGTCATCTTGTAGGTCAAGTCTTCTCCCTGTGTATATAATACAACAAATCTAAAAGGTTGATGTTATCATTATCTTTTTCCATCACAAAATTACGAAAGGATTTTCCTGAATCTTTTTAGAGCTTTATGATGATCTATTATTTTTTTTAAAAAAGGAAATTTGCTTTGCAAATGCATTCAGCACCCATACACCCTCATCACAGCTTCCTCTCCTTTTATCCACTTAACTTAGCTAAGAGCTGAATTCCTTGACTCCTCTTTATCTCTAGCCCAACAGGCATCACTTCCTTTCCTGTGGAGCCTGGACTCCAGGCTCTGTCACCTCATCCTATGGGACTTCTTTGTCCCACTGCCTGTCTGTTGTACCTGAGAAGAAACAGTGTAACTCTTGACCAGCGATTTGGTCAAAACCAGTATGTGATCGGTCACATATTAGTTAAGGTTTCTTTAGTTTCAAATACAAACACTTAAACTCGAACTACCTTAAGGGAAAGGGGGACCCAATAGTCTATGTAGCCAAATCATAAAAAGATATGGATGGAGCTGGCCTCAGGGACATAGGAATTTAAAACTCTCCCCCCCCTCCTCTCAACTCTTCTCCTCTTTCCACCCCAACATCTCCACTCCTTGTTTCTTTACCACACAAGAAACACGTCCACAACAAGCAACACCCATTCACATCTTTGCGTCTCTCAACAAGAGGAAACAAACAGTTCTTTCTCCCAGCTCCAGTTTGAAAAGATTCCAATTGGTGAGGTGTCCTCCCCATGGACTAATCCATATGGCTGGGAGATGAGGTTCTATGACTGGGCCCATCCCTGAAGTCAGGGAGGCTGGGGCATCTGTTAAAGAGGAAGCAGCATTGACCCAGCCGCTGGTATAATCCTCCTGAGCTTCACTGCCTCCCCTATTTGTATATGACTAATTCAGTACTAACAGAGAAAATTAAACAGCACAAATTAATGCCACTGAGTATTCATCAGCTCAAACTTCAGCAGAGCTTTCATTCATGAGCCTCCTTTAACTTTTTCCATCTTCCCTAAAATGTATCTGCACGAGCATCGATTCTTTCCTCCATTCTGATGGTTAGGGAAGGGGTGTCCCATCTCTGCAAGGCTAAGCCTCTAGCACTGGTCCTGATACCTTCCCTTTCTGAGGTAACATCTCCTCCTTTATCAGCTCCTTTCTACCAGCTTTCAAACATGTGCAAGTCTCTCCCAACCCCACCTCGTTATTTAGTTATGACCCTCTGTTCCTCAGCCCCTCTTTTTCAGCCAAGTTTCTGAGAGGTTTCTGCAATTCTTATCTCCACTTAATCTCTTCTCTTCAACTCAGAGAATCTAGCTTTCGATCCTGTTCCTTCATTAAAACTGATCACAATAAATGCTTCAGCTTCACGCTAAATTTAAGGCCACTTTTTAGTGTCCCTGGATCTCCTCACCTTTCAGCAGCCCTGAATACTCTCAAATATTTTCTTCCTTGTTTTCTGTGACACAATATATAGTCTCCTGAATCTTCTCCTATCTCCTTGGATAATCCTTCTCATTACTCACATCTTCCTCATCTTATCCCTTAAAGGTGGGTGAACTTAAGGGCTTATCTTCAGCCCATGTGAACTCTTGTGAACTTCAGATCCACATGTCAGCTGCACTTGGATGTTCCCAAAGTATCACAAACTCAGTGAAGAGGAACTAGGGCATGAAGACCTAATAGTGAAAGTGTACTCTCGATCTGGGTAACCTGCACTGGTATGAAATATTTAATCTTTTGAGTACAGAAACACTACACACAAAGCCCAAGGACAGGTGGTTTATGGTAACATAAAACATACTCAAGTCAGAATCCTAGGACTGCCAGGATTTTTCTATCAATTGTTCCATCCAAAATACTTTTATACTCCTGCCACAAAATCAAGAAAGTTTCAGGTTACAATCACATTTACTATCACTCTTGTACGTGACTACTAATGGTACAAGAACAAGTCTTTTAGCAATAATGTTTCTAGGACAAATTGTTAAAACTCTAATTTTCACTCAAGAAACAACAAAATAAAATTTCAGAGCTGAAAGAGCCTTAGAGATCATGAAACAAATTCTTCCTTTCAGGGGCCGGCCCTGTGGCTTGGTGGTTAAGTGTGCGCGCTCTGCTACCGGCGGCTCGGGTTCGGATCCCGAGCGCGCACCAACGCACTGCTTCTCCGGCCATGCTGAGGCCGCGTCCCACACACAGCAACTAGAAGGATGTGCAGCTGTGACATACAACTATCTACTGGGGCTTTGGGGGAAAAATAAATAAATAAAAATTAAAAAAAAAAATTCTTCCTTTCATAGATGAGAAAAATGAAGCCCAATGTTAATTAAATTCTCTCAAGGTCCTGTAGCTGGTTTTCACAAACTCTGTACATTCTTTCCTATCAACTAACTACATTCTCTCCTCCTAAGACCAAACTTTATAGCATTGTAAATGCCTGGCTTAAGTTGAGGCCCATGTGAGAAGGTAACAAGGCTTGTGCCTCTCTCAGAATAGATTCAAATAATGCTGGTCACTGTAATATTCTACTCTTAAAAGATGAGCTTTAAACAAGAGCCACTGTCCTTATGACACACGCTTGAAATGCCTTTGTCAGTGAGGATGATGGGTTTGCTGCACTGATCCTATACTCAGTCCACTAATGATCAAAGGTATTTGATACATGAATGGCTAAAACTGGAGGTGTAGTCTATAGCTCAGGAAAATAATTTATCTCTAGCTATGTGAGAGATTATCTGACCTAGCTCCAAGAAAGCAAGGTTTGTGGGTAAATAGTGTCATGGAAGGCTGCCACTTCCCTGTGGCCATGAATTGGTAGTTATGGATAAGTGGAGAAAGGTATCAAATCTTAATGGGCCACAGCAGCCCATATGAATCACATGCAGTGAAGTGATAACCAGCTGTGGTAGGCTATAATGGACCCCCAAAAGATGTCCAGGTCCTAATTCCTAGAACCTGTGTATGTTTCTCTACACTACAGCAAAAAGCTTGCAAACATAATTAAGTTAATGATCTTGAGATGAGGAGAGTATCTGGGCTGGTGGTGTA